TTCAAGCCCCAGGACTGGCAAAAAAAAAACCAAAAAACAGAAAACAACAACAACAAAAAAAAACCTTCTCTAACGTATCTTGGAACACCATTGCTAGCATGGTAATTTCAGCTGGCCTTTCTTTGGAAACTTCCACATTCACCCAGGACATGGTTTGGTTTTGTATTTGCTGGTACTGGGGCTTGAACTTAGGCTCTATCACTCTAACTCAGCTTGCTTGCTAAGCTGGCGCTCTACCATTTGGGCCATACCTCTAGCTCTGTTTTTTTGCTGGTTATTCTGGAGATAGAGCCTCATGTACTTTTCTGCTAAGCTGGCCCCAGCCCTTGATCTTCTGGATCTTAGCCTCCTTCTTAGCTTGGATTACAGGTATGAGCCACCAGTTTGATAACATTGTTATTAACTAAAAGTCCATATTTCATTCAGATTTCCTTTTTTTGGTTTTTTTCTTTTTGGTTCCCATCCAGGTCACCTCATTACTTTTACTTACTATATCTTGGCTGTGGCAGCTTCTCAGATTTACCTTACTTGTGATATTAAGTTTTGTGTGTGCGTGTGTTGGTCCTAGCGCTTGAACCTAGGGCCTGAAAGCTGTTTCTGAGCTTCTTTTTGCTCAAGGCTAGTGCTTTATCACTTGAGCCACAGATCTGCTTCTGACTCCTTGGAGTTTTTATTAGAGATAAGAGACACAGACATTCCTACTGGGTTGGCTTTGAACAGCAATTCTCAGATCTCAGCCTCCTGAGTAGCTAAAATTACAGGCATAAGCCATTGGTGCCCGGCTAGTCTTGACATTTTTGAGGAGTTGCGATCTGGTATTTTGTAGAATGCTGCTCTGCTGGAATTTGTCTGCTGGTTTCTCATGATTAGACTGGGGTTATGGGTTAGATAACAAAGGTGAAGTGCCATTCTCATCCCATCCAATCCAGAGTATATACCAGCAACAAGGCTTATCACTGCTAACATTGATCTTAATTCTGAACTTTGAGGGCTGGGGGTACAGTTCAGTGAGTCTGAGTACTTACCTAACAGGTACAAGATTCTGCATTCAATCCCAGAGTAAATAATAATGACTTATTATTGCTGGGCACTGATGGCTCACGCCTGTAATCTTAGCTACTCAGCAGGCTGAGATCTGAGGATCACAGTTCAAAGCCAGCTTGAGAAGAAAAGTCCTGGGCTTGGAAGGTGGCTCAGTGGTAGAGCGCTTGTCTTGCATGCATGAGGCCCTGGGTTCGATTCTTCAGCACCACATAAGCAAAAAGAAAAAAAGCTAGAAGTGGCTGGTGCTGTGGCTCAGGTGGTAGAGCACTAGCCTTGAGCTGAAGAGCTGAGGGACAGCGCCCAGGCCCAGAGTTCAGGCCCCATGACTGGACCAAAAAAAAATAAAAAAAAGAAAGAGAGAAGAAAAGTCCCTGTGAGACTCTTATCTCTAAGCACTCAAAAACTGGATGTGGCTCAAAGTGGTAGAGCACTAGCCTTGAGCAAAAGAGTTCATGGACAGCACCTAGGCCCTGAGTTCAAGCCCCACAACTGACAAAAAAGTAAGTTATTATTATTATTGTTATTATTATTATTGAATGAAGGCTGCAAGGCCTAGGGGGTGGGGAGGAATAGCACAATCTTGATTTCTCCAGGGTTTCCAGATGGCTGCTTTGTAGAGATCAAACCACCACCACAATCTCACTGTGAAAGCACTCAGGATTCGCTGTTAGAATTGGAATCTTGGCTATATTTGGTCAGGAGGGAGAGGGTATGTTCATAAGGAAGAAGGCTTCCTATAAGCTCCTAAGTCTTTTTTTTTTTTTTTAATTTTCCGGTCACGGGGCCTGAACTCTGGGCCTGAGCACTGTCCCTCAGCTCTTCAGCTCAAGGCTAGTGCTCTACCACTTGAGCCACAGCCCCACTTCCGGCTTTTTTCTTTTTGCTTATGTGGTGCTGAGGAATAGAACCCAGGACCTCAGGCATGCAAGGCAAGCACTCTACCACTGAGCCAACTTCCCAGCCCCTCCTGAGTAAGTCTTTAGTACAAGTATTATCCTGCCACACACACACACACACACACACACACACACACACACACACACACACACACACACATTATCTATCGCTAAAAGCTTCAGTGGAAAATTTAACCACATACCATTAGTTTACTGAACATTAAAAGTTGAATCAGTAGAACTATGTTCAAAAAGCAGAACTGCTGATGGTTTCCCATGTGACTTGGCCATGATATAAACTTCCCTATTCTCTAGGTTTCAATATCTCAATCTATGTAACAAGGAAAAGGTTTCCTACCGTGTTTTATCTTGCCAAATTCCAGGGTCCAAAGAACAGCTATGTGCCTTTGAGGCCTTGACTAAAAAAGGGTCTTGCACATCAAGGCTAAACTACTTACTCTTAGCTCAAAATAGAGTATGGCTGGGTGCCAGTGACTCATGGCTGTAATCCTAGCTACTCAGGAGGCTGAGATCTGAAGATCTCAGTTCAAAGCCAGCCCGAGCAGAAAAGTCCCCATGAGACTTATCTCCAACTAACCACTCAAAACCCGAAAGTGGTGCTGTGGCTCAAAGTGGTAGAGCACTAGCCTTGCGCAAAAGAGGTCAGGGACTGGGCCAAGACCCTGAGTTCAAGCTCTATGACCAACCAACAAATAGAAAAGATCAGTATGAATGATTGGGAAGGATATTTTATGCTATAGTTCACTTATAATAGGTAGGTTGTGGGGTTTTGTTTTTTGTTTTTTGTTTTTTTTTTTGCCAGTCCTGGGGCTTAAACTCAGGGCCTGGGCACTGTCCCTGAGCTTCTTTTGCTTAAGGTTAGTGCTGTACCCACTTGAGCCACAGTGCCACTTTCAGCCTTTTCTGTTTATGTGGTACTGAGGAATCGAACCCAGGGCTTCATGTGTGCTACGCAAGCATTCTGCCACTAAGCCACAGTCCCAGCCCTGGGGGGGATGTTCTTTTGATTCCAGTTTTCCACTGGCTACTTTTTCTCCAGTGGGTCTGCTGCCTAAAAACTCCCAGGGTTACTGCTTTCACCCCACTCTCTCCCTTTTCTTTTCTTTTTTTTTTTTTTGTTCCTGTGCTCATACTAGGGCTTGAACTCAGGGCCTGGGTGCTGTCTCTTAGCTTTTTCACTCAAGGCTGGCGCTCTACCATTTGAACCACACTTCAACTTCTGGCTTTTTGGAGGTTAATTGGAAATAAGAGTCTCACAGATTTTCTTGCCCAGGCTGGCTTCGAACCCAGTCCTCAGATCTCAATCTCTTGAGTAGCTAGGATTATAGGCATGAGCCACTGACACCTGGTGTCACTCTCCTTTTGGCTGCCTCAGTTAATTCCAAGAAGAAAATGAAAGTGGGGAACTAAGGAAACAGACATTTCCCCCCCTTCTAACAAGTCTCTTAGATTTGCACATCAAACAATGCTCAGTCACTTTCAATGCTCCGTGTCCCACCCCCAATTTCCATAGACTGGGCTTTCAGGGAGTATTTCTATAGTTCATTTTAACGGTGCCTCATCTCATGCCAAATGAAAGTAGATTTTTTGTCAACTAAACAATTAATGCTCAACCTGAGGCTTTCTCCCAGATATATTTGACAAGTTTTTTTTGTTCTGGTCCTGGGGCTTGAACTCAGGGCCTGGGCACTGTCCCTTGAGCCACAGCTCCACTTGCAGCTTTTTCTGAGTAGTTTACTGGAGATAATAGTCTCATGACTTTTTTTGCTCAGGCTGACTTCAAACTGAGATCCTCAAATCTCAGCCTCCTGAGTGGTTAGGATTCCAGGTGTGAGCCACCAGCACCAGGGTATACTTTACAGTTTTGTCTACCTGAAACAATCTTCCCACCTCTTCCCCTTGCATAATGAAATCCTATCCACCTTTCCAGATCATCAGCTGGAGCATCATATTCTCTCTCTCTTTCTCTCTCTCTCTCTCCATTTTGTTTCTGAGCTGCTACTGGGGCTTGAACTCAGTGCCTTATGCTCTCACTTGGCTTTTCCATTCAAGACTGGTGCTTTACCACTTGAGCCACATCTCCATTTCTGGCTTTTTACTGGTTAATTAGAAATGAAGCTCAGATTTCCTATCCAGGCTGGCTTAGAACCACAGTCCTCAGATGGCAGCCTTTTAAGTAGCTAAGATTACAGGGGGGGGGGGGGGAGAATCCTCTTCCAATCAGAAATATTGCACCGGGTCACTTTTTGGCTCACATCATAGGTGAGCATAACTGCAGGAAGGGAGGAACCTGATGGAAATAATATGTCTATCTTGCATCTACTCATGAACACCTTGTGCAGATTGGAAACTGAGGACTGGGTACAGTAATTCATGTTCTATCATTGCAGTGTTTGGAGGCAGGGTTGTCAGATGTAGCAAATCAAACGTGCCGGGATGTTCAGTTATCATTTGAATTTCAGATCAACAATGAATACTTAACATAAATATGCGCAGACATAGTAAAAAAAAATCATTATTTCTCTGCAACTCAAATTTAAGTGGGAGTTGAGTATGTTATCTAGCTCCTCCTGTTTGGGGGGCAGTGTTCCCCCACCCCCACCCCCACCCCCACCCCCAGGTACCTGGCTTCCTGAACCCTGCAGTTTTCATAGCTAGCTTTTGGAGCAGAGCAGAGGCGCAAGACTGGGAAACGATCACTGCAGATTGAACAAAGGGTCTGCACCCAGCAGGCAGCCTCACTCTGGGGGTTCTCAGAACCCTGTGATCAGCCCCTTCACAATCTCCCCCCAACCCCCATTTCAGACCACTTGCCCTACCCTGCATCTCGTGACTCGCCACTCTAGGCTGCAGACCCAGGCAGAAGTGTTTGGCTCTGCAATACTTCACTGCCATTGGTAGGCAATTCCATCCATTATTTTACTTCCCGCCCCCAAGACTGACGTTTCCCAGATTACGTCTCTCCGGTAGCCGGTGGCGTACTTTCCGATTGGTTGTAAATGTCGCAGCGGTCTTCGCCCTAGCGTGACGAGGGAGGTGGTGGGGGAGGTAGGCGAACTCTGGGAGTAGAAACCAGCTGAAGCACGTCACCTCCTCCTCCTCCTCCCGCTGCAGTGGTCGCTGGTGTCCCGTCGGCCGTGTGTCACCTTGCACTGCTTGCAGCGGCTGGATCACAATGATGGCTGTGCTCCTCGTGCTCCTGTCCCTGTTGGTGGCAGGTGAGGATCCGGGATGGGAGGGACGAGTTCCAGAGGCCCTGCGCCGCGGGGATCGGGGGAGATGGAGGGTGGGGGGGAATCGGGGACTTTGGTGACCCTGGGTGGGCTGTTTCTGGGCTGGTCCTGCAATGTGGACCTTCCCGGGCCTGCCTAGTCTTAGCTACCTTCCTCTGGGCTTGTTCCCGGGATCCGCCTATGACAGCGAGGCCTTGTGGGCTCGCCTTACCTTGGCCGGGGCCAGGCTATGGAGGGCTCTGCTCTTGAACCGAGCTCCGCCTTTTAGAGGAAGTATCGTCCTCCCACCACTACAGTGCAGGCTCCGGAACCTGCTTCTATCTTTTAGAGGAAGATATGCTCTCCCCCTATCTGCTTGCCCTCTTCTTCCGCCTGTAGAGGCCCTTCGGGGGATGGGAAACATTGCTCAGTAGCTGTTCAATTGCTGCTTTCTACCCAGAAGAGAAGGCTTAATTCTTAACTGCCACTGGTGGCTGCCTTTAATTTTTTTGCATTCGTAACATGTCATTGTTTCTAGTAGTTGTCATAGGCGACAGATCTTATCCTCATATACGATCAGGATGTGAACATTAAGATGGGGGTCCTTGATTTTATATGATTATTTCTTCAGGGAAATCACAAGAGCACCTCTGGATAGTTTGTCTCAGTTCCCAATTTTAAGGATTTGGAAATCAGAATATGAATTGCGTCCTTTGGGTCACATGACAGATGGCAGGTTTTGAAATAGAACGTGTCTAAGCATGAAGCTGAGTGGAATTCAGCGCATATTTGACCTGTGGTGCAGCAATCCTGAGAAGTTTTCACTCTCCTTTTTGGAGTGGTCACCACCCAGCATCACCTGGGTACAAAGTAGCAACGTTGGAATTGAATTTAGATCAGCTGTGTTCAAAGCCCACTTCCTTTTCTGTGATGTGTTGTGGCCCAGTTAACACTGCAATATGGGAGTGATGGGGGCTCAGACTGGGCTGCAGGTAATAGGGAACAGGAACAATTTGAAGGAGTGGGTGCTCCAAGGTTCCACTTGCATCAGATTAAAAAAAAATAGATCCACAGAATGCAGTTGCCAATTGGCTGTTGTATGGACACATTTAAAGAAGCTGGTGGCTTTCACCTAATCCTACCTACTCAGGAGGCTGAGATTGGAGAATTAGGGTTTGAAGCCAGCTCAGGCATACTTAAGATTCTTATCTCCAGTTAGCCAATGCAAAGCTGCAAGTGGGGCTGTGGCTCAAGTGGAAGAGCACCAGTCTTGAGCAAAAAAAGCTAAGGAATAATACCCAGGCCTTGAACTCAAGATCTAGTACTAGCACACACACACACACACACTCGCTCTCTCTCTCTCTCTCTCTCTCTGTGCTTGTGCTGTGTATCTAGGAGCTCCCACATTGGGAAGGCAGTTTAATTCTATATATAAGACCAGTGATGTTCTGAAATCTGTAGCATTCCATCCCTCAAGTATCCAGTCTGTGAAAGTTACCTTTGTTTTTAATGCCTCAAGTTTCAGAGTTCTTTGTTTTATTTCTGTTGCTGGCCTTTACAAACATCATTCTGATTTATTCCTTGGGGGAATTATTTTTACTTTATTTCAGTTTTAATGCCATTTTTAAATAAAATAAAGAACTTCCTTTTAATAATTTGGCTAAATTGAACCTCTGTTGAAATCTCATGTTTTAATTTATGGCTGACATAATTTTGACCTAGTAAGGTTTTTTAGGGCGGGGGGGGGGGGGAAGGCGGGGGTTGGTTTGGGTTTTGGTCTGAGATAAAGTAATTGTTTCTGTCCCCCGTTGGAACATGCTCTCCTTGCTAGAATGGTCTGGTTCATACAGGCAGAAATCCAAGCTTCTGCATTGTTGGGTCTTGTCAGATGAAGTCAAATGATTATTTTCCATAATGACTAAGTGTGACTTAATGGAAAACATCTTTAAGGGCTCTGAGTTCACTATTTGAAGAAGAAGAAGAGGAAGAAGAAGAGGAGGAGGAGGAGGAGGAAGAAAAATCGTTTAAAACTGTGCGATGAGGGTTGGGAAGGTGGCTCAGTGGTAGAGCGCTTGCCTTGCATGCCTGAGGCCCTGGGTTCGATTCCTCAGCACCACATAAGCAAAAAGAAAAAAGCCGGAAGTGGCGCTGTGGCTCAAGTGGTAGAGCTCTAGCCTTGAGCTGAAGAGCTGAGGGACAGCGCCCGGGCCCAGAGTTCAGGCCCCATGACCAGACTCCCCCCAAAAAACAAAAAACTGTGCTATGAAATTAGAAGGAACTAGAGTTATGAATACCACCTCCTGAAGCATATTTCAATTTTTTTAAAATGCAAGCAGTTTAGCCTGACATGAAAGGGCAAATGTGGAATTCAAAGGAATATTGGGGAGAAAGAGGAATTGTTTTTGGTTACTGATGTCTGGGAAGATGTTTTCTTTTAGTAGATTGGCTCTGTCCATCATTCCTAGAAGATCAGAGCTTGGTAGAGTTCTCAGAAAGGAGAACATTTTACCCAGACTGGGGAGGTTGAGAGAAATTTCCCCAGGGAAGGTGCATCATAGAGAAAGCTTGTGAAAGATTAGGGCAGAAAGAACAGGCATTTGTAGGTAAATCAATATGCATAAAAATACAAAGGTAGGGCTGGGAAGGTGGCTCAGTGGTAGAGCGTTTGCCTTGCATGCATGAGGCCCTGGGTTCGATTCCTCAGCACCACATAAGCAGAAAAAAAAAAGCGGGGGAAAAAAGCCAGAAGTGGTGCTGTGGCTCAAGTGGTAGAGCACTAGCCTTGAGCTGAAGAGCTGAGGGACAGCGCCCAGACCCAGAGTTCAGGCCCCACGACCGGACCCCCCCCCCCAAAAAAAACAAAAACAAACAAAGGTAGGCTTGGTGGAGTGGCCCAGTGGTAGAGCATCTGACTGCCTAGCAAATGCGAGGCCCTGCATTCAAATCCTTGGACTGTTAATAAAGCAATATAAATGTTAAGAAGCATAAAGGTATGAATGCAAAAGAGCAAATAGTTTGTAGAGGGACCTAAGTCAGAGAGATCCCAAAAATAAAGTTGGTGAGGTGCCTAAGGTGTTTGTTAAGTTTTGAATTTGCCTTGAAGGCTCTGGGCAGTAAGTGAAGGCATTTAATTGGAAAGGTGAGCAAACAAATCTGTATTTTGATGAGCAAGGAAAAGTGGGAGTGCTATGATTGTCCTAGGCAGCCAGTTCTAGCAAACCTGGTGAGGGATGTGGAGGAGGAGGATTTGGGAAGATAATTAGAGGGTGGGGGAAAGACCCACAGAAAATAGTAGCGAATACAGAAGCATTTAAAGCCACTGGGTAGAAGATGACATCACCCTTGGAGCTAGAGAATGCAGGAGAAGCATGGGGAAATGATGGAGAATCCAGTTCTGAACCTGTTTGAAGGGTGGGTAGGACTTAGGACAGAATGTGACCAGGTTGTTGTTGAATATGTAGGTCTAAAGTTCAAGGGAGATGAAAGCTGGAAATAGGAATCTGGGAACCCACAGTGTGGTTCTGCGTGTGTGTGTGTGTGTGTGTGTGTGTGTGTGTGTGTGTGTGTGTGTGTGTGTGTGTGTGTGTGTGTGTGTGTGTGTGTGTGTGTGTGTGTGTGTGTGTGTGTGTGTGTGTGTGTGTGCGTGCGCACGCGCCTGGGTAATGGCCTTGAGTCATCTTTGCTCAAGGCTAGCACTCTACTACTTGAGCCCCAGCTCTACTTCTGGTGTTTTTGGTGGTTATCTGGAGATGAGTCTCACTGACTTTCCTGCCTAGGTTGGCTTTCAACCAATACCCTCAGAGTGCCGCCGCCGCCGCCGCCCAGCTTATGCCTTTTTTGTTTTTAATCTCATCAAATATTTTTTTTTTAGTAGAATGTCTCTTGATTTGAGTTTTGTCTTCTCATGATTAGAGTGAGAAGCATATCACACAGGTATCTCATCCTTGTCAAAATACCTATTTTTTTTTGTTTGGTCTTGGGGCTTGAACTCTGGGCCTGGGCGCTGTCCCTGAGCTCTTCAGCTCAAGGCTAGTGCTCTACCACTTGAGCCACAGCGCCAATTCTGGCTTTTTCTGCTTATATGTGCTGAGAAATCGAACCCAGGGCCTCATACATGTGAGGCAAGCACTCTACTGCTGAGCCACCTTTCCAGACCCTCTATGTATGTTTTATAATCCAGAACAAATGTAATACCTATGATTCTAGTACCAATGTATACCACATATGCTTGTATATCTATATGCGTACACCTATGCTGTATAGCTGTGAAAAGTAAATATCTGGGTTGCTTTGTCTATATCCCAGGCATTCCCCCTCATCAACTTTACTTACATATCTCTGTATATACATACATGTGCTACTTGACATTTTTGTGCCAAAAGAATTGACATCTAAGCAGTTGGGGCATTGCAGTTTTAAGAGACAGGAAGAGGAAAAAAAATCAACAAGAGGAACAACCATAGGAATTTGAAGGAAAAGCAAGAGTCCTGGCATCAGTAATACCAGGGTAGGGGATTTATTTTGTGTGTGTACCAGTCCTGGGGTTTGAACTTGGGACCTAGGCTCTGTCCCTGAGCTCTTTTTTTCTTGTCAGTTGTGGGGCTTGAACTTGGGGCCTGGGAGCTGTCCCTGAGCTCTTTTGCTCAAGGTTAGTGCTCTACCACTACCACTTTGAACCACAGCACCATTTCTGGTTTTCTGGTGGTTAATTGGAGATAAGAGTCTCACAGACTTTCCTACCCAGGCTGGCTTTGAACCAGGATTCTCAAGATTTCTCAAGATTTACTTGTGAGTAGGTAGGATTACAGGCGTGAGCCACCAGCACCTGGTCAAGGCAGGGGATTTTCAAGGAGGAAATTGCCAGTGTCAGATGCTTTGGAAACTTCCATAACTAAAAGGACTAAAAAGTGTGCTTGGGATTTGTTGAGCTGTTGCAGTGGAGCATTATGGGTAGATCTGTGGGTTAGGTAGGGAACAAGAAATGAAGAAGGAGAGAAAGAAATGGT